CCCCAAAACCCCAAAACCCCAAAACCCCAAAACCCCATTAAATCATTAATTTAATGAAAACTAAATAAGGCTTTAGAGGAATGTCTTGTTTGGAATCAAGGATATCTTCTTTCCCTTTGAGAGGTAGTCATCAAGACTGGAGTGTTGGTTTGTGAATCTGGAGGTATTGTTTGCTGCCAAAGTATCGAAATATGGAACAGTTATATTTTTAACCTCACTTCCATGAATATATTATGAAGGAGAATGAAAGATGGACTTAGTAAAACTATGCCCTCAGGTATCCCTTTGAGATAAAGATAGCTTAGTTCCTTGAAGGAGCAAGATAAATCCCTTCAGTAACCAATATGCAAAATATCTCTATCTTGGATCTTTTCTTGGCCCAAGTTAGTTCACAGTAAATAGATCCCCAAAAGAGTTTATTTTGATAAATAATGGCAATTTATAATCATTAACGATTTAGATACTGCTTACGATAAAACCCAAACTTGCTCTACTAACTGAGATTGTGCAGTGCCACAAACTCTCAGAGAAGAATCAAAACAGGATTCTAAGAACGATGCCAGCTGAGAAGTAGTTTTTTTATTTGGTAATCCACAAAAATCTTCCCCAAAAATTGACTTCAAGTCTCTCTACAATACCTAGAAGAATACAAATTACAAACAAGAGTTGGATCAAAGATTCAAACCAGCTATATCTCTCATAAGTTAAAGGATAAATAATCCTTGTGGCTCTGAAGTCCACTTCGGAAAACCCAAACTCTCCAAGAAACAATGAATGGAAATTGTCAAGGTTAAGATCCTGAATGGAGAAGGCACAGCAGACATTGCAAAAAATAAGACCAGGGCTTCTACAGTTAGATAAATTATTAGAGATTACAATGAAGGCAGAGTAGAAAACATTGCAGGATCCTTGAAAGAAAACGCTAAATAATTGAAGAAAACTCAGGATTAGTGAAGTCATATTTGGAATATTTCATCAAAGCACTAAGAATTTCAATGGGGATGATATTTGAAAATATTGAAGATAAACAATAGAAACCTACTATTTCTAGATGAAATATCAAAACCTTAAAGAAAGCAGCTTGAATTTTAGCTATAAAAAGCTGAATCTAAGACTTATAAATGTCGGCTTCAGAAAGCTTTACGTTGCCAGGAAGTTGTTCATAATAGGAATGAGGCATAGAATTTTCCCTGAAACAATTTTATAAAAATAGATGAATCTACTGCTTCATATAGAATCCAGAGGATGCACGGTTTGCCCTAGAAGGGTAAAAGGAGATATTAAGACCGCAAGCTTCTGAAACAGTATGAAAGTGATTACAGCGATAACTACAAAAAGCCAATTCTTTTTCAAGCTTTCAACTATCAACACAAATGAGGAAATGTTTGGAGAATACTTGAAGGACTTATATAAAGTGATCAGAAGAACCAGAGGAGCTGAAAGAAGGAGGATAATAGCTCTGATAGATAAAGCAAATATCATCATACTCAAAAGCTGAAAAAGCTTTGGAAGAATTATGAGGTTGATGAGTCTAATTCCTTCCTTGTAGTCTACTGTTTGCCTATGTGGAGCCATTTTCAATATTTTTATGAAAAATGGGGTTTTGGGGTTTTGGGGTTTTGGGG